TATATAAAGCTATCGTGTACCTTAGCATTTTGAATGTAAAATTTTAGATGCATCATATTGAATTGTTAATGATGTAAATTTTAAACTTTTGATACTTATTCATTTATATATGAACTTTATTTAAAAGTTATAAAGTCATCTAAATGATTTAAATTATGCACACTTCCGTAGTATTGTTTATGATGGATCTATTAAAAAATTCTAAAAAAAGTAGTGTATATTTTGAAATGATTTATATATGCTATTTTTCTACTCATTTAATCCTAATTAACAAAGTCAATATCTACGTTAGTAGTAAATGTATATAGCTAGAATGTAAATATCTGTTACATCTTGGGAGAGGCAAAATGGGTCGTAACAAATCCAAGCTTGATGCGAACTGTTGATAAAGTTTGTGGAAATGTTAATAGGAATATTAGGCTATAAGGAAAAAAAAGAGTAAGAGATGTGGAGGCCATTGGCATATAAGATGAGTGATGAAATTATAAGATGAAATGTTATTTTGGTCAAAGAGAACATGATAAGAAAAGAGTATTCTTCTTGTGAGTGGATTGTAGCGCTTGTAGTCCTTAGGATAGGAAGCATACCCAACAAATCCACTAGAAAGTGATTTTGGGATTATTTTTTTAGGAGAATGTAGTTGTAACTAAAGATAACACTTGTAGACGAATACTTTAAAATATAAATATTGTGATGATTTGTTATATAATAGCCAATATATATAATTAAAATTAACCGTTTAATATGTATTGCGATAAAGCTCGTGTCAACCCAGAGGTGACAATGAAGGCCTATTTTAATAAAGAGAATTAGAAAATTATCAATTATATCACAATGCTCCATTTTGACAATACTGTATTGTTTAGAGGTATCAGAATGATTGAATTCTTGTTTAATACCTTATTGAGGTAAAATAGAGTTGAGAATTATGCTTTTGTATTTGACCCCATAGTCATGCTGCACAATTTTGATGGAAGTGTTGAGCCTATCTTAATCACTATTTTGAATAGGATGACCCTATAAGTTGTGTCAAATATATTGATCATAAGAAATAACCAATAAAATTTAGAAAAAATCATTAACTAAGAAAAATACATTGATATATTGATTTGATGATAAAATACAAATTGCAAAAGTGATAGCTAATTTGGAGAGGTAGATTGATATTCTTATATATATATATATATATATATTATTAAGAAACATTTTATGTGCCCGCCATTAATTTTGCTCAAAAAAAATAACTAGCAAGTATACTCGGGCTTACTTTGTAGCCACTGTTATTTATTAACACTAAAGAACTGCTTTAAAAATCAATAACAAAATTGTTCTAAAAGAAACCACGTTATGCCTAGAAAGACTATAAAATTTATATTTAGGCTTTGTTGAGACAATCTTTTTATTGTTTCTTAAAACAAATTTTTTAGTATAAAATTTAAATTTTTATAAAAAAAATATGCTTTAAAAAAAATATTGAAAAAGCCGTCCGAAATGACGGGCAAATTATTGCATTCGGTCACCGGACGCGGAGAATAAGTTCGAACATCCAATAGAAAATTGGCACGTCACCTGCGCTTTTGACTGCACTTTACCTGCGCTTAATTTAAAATAATATTTTATTAATATTCAGACTTATCTTCGCATCCAGTGACAGAATACAATAATTTGCCCAAATGACGAAGCCTTAATGTGCTTGCCAGTCACCACACAAATATATAAATTTAAGATAATGAAAAATAGCATTTCTCTCAAGAAAATACTGCAAAATAATAAAACAATAATAATAAACAACCGAACGACGCTTAGCTCATTGAAATTCGTTCACCGAAAGAGCTCGTCGCCACTAATTGAAGAAAATAAAAAACTATACTATCAGTATTCAACTCTAATAATCACATTCAGATTCACTAAACCGTCGATTCCTTCTTCAAAAATCTTCAATTTGTCCCCCAAATCAATCATCTTCTTCATCAACTTCGTTCTTAACCGCTTTACCCATCCTCACACTCTCCGGTTGCCCATTCCCCGCCACCCTCCTCTGCTGCTGAACCACCAGAGTCGAAACCCTACCTCCAAAATCCGTCGAGGCCAACAAATCCCCGATAGTCCCCAGCTCCGCAAACTCACTCCAAATCGACAATCCCGACGTCAGCTCCGTCTCCTTCCCATCGCCCCGGCCAACTAACAACAAACTAAACCTCACGCTTATTTCCCTTATCACCGCCACCGTCCCCTCCCCATCTTTCACCACCTCCTCCCTGTAAACCACTCTGCTTCCATCCGATTTCCTTATCCTCACATCCTCCATCATTCTTTCATCCAGTCTTTCCTCTGTTCCCTCCATTGTCGCATTCGGTAGCCGAAACCTCACTACGGTGAGCCCGACGGAGGAGTCTTCGGCCATGCGGAGCCCTAAAGCGAGTGCTTCGCGGTCGTCCGGTCCGCCGAAGAAGTATACGGCGGCGTGCGGAATGCCGCCGGCGCGGAAGGCGGAGGATTCTGCTGCGAGGCCGTGGTTGACGAGGACTGCGACGGAGCAGGGTGCGAAGCGAAGGACGGCCGAATTGACTGCTTGGATGGCGGGTATGGGGGCGGAGACGGAGCCGTCGATGGCGAGGTGCTTGTGAAAGGGGACGATGATGAGGAAGACCTACAAGAATTCGGAGTTATTGACAAACAAGAGGATGATAAATAGTTAATGACAATGTAGACGGACCTTCTTGTCAAGAGCGAGGGAGCAGATATCCTCATGCATGCTGGCGTAAGGAGAGATGCAGACGTAGGGGAGAATGGAGCAGCCAGTGTAGAGCTGCTCGGCTTGGAGGAAGGCGTTGAAGATGTGGTCGGTGTCAGAGGCGGCGGAGGCATCGAAGGGGGTGCGGTGGCGGGTATAAGGGGCGAGGAGTGTGGCGGCGCGGCCAGCGAGAGGTTTTAGGTGGAGAGCGTAGAGGCAGACGGGGCTTAGAGCGGTAGGGTGGGCGCTGTCGAGGAGCGTGAGCATACCGTTAACGTGTTCCTGGCCGTGGATGCAGGAGAGGATGCGGAGCTCGCTGTTGCTCTTGAGGAATTGGATGGCGCGGCGCTTGTAAGCTACGAAGCGGTCTTCGGGACGGTAGATGTGTTTGACTAGCGGCGCTGAGCCGCCGCCGACAACTACGATAGCTAAGACCAGGACTGTGAATAACTGCCTGTCCACAATCTGCATGTAAAGAAAGGTATTAATAATAATTATATTCAAATCACATCAAGTAGCAACCATAAGCCTATAACTTTTTGCTTTAGTCATATATGAATGTTCATTTGCAATAGGTTGTGCCGTAGTGTATGCTTTTTGACCATGATATATTCTTCTTGTTGATAAGAATAGAGATGGAGTTAAAAGGTAAACTTGAATTATGGAGGTCAACTGTAGAGTCTAAAAGTTTTCATAATCTAAAATTAAATATATTGAGTGCAGTTTTAATAGTAATAAATCTATTTGAGGATTGTAACTTTCGGCGATCAAGTCATTAATAAAAGTTTACATTTTAGATATGTTTGGTCGATTGTTAAGAGTGATGGTGAAAAAGATGGGTATATTATTAGTAGAATTCAAGTTGGATGGTTGAAGTGGAGAACTGCATCAGGATTGTTGTGTGATAGAAAGTTCCCCACAAACTTTAAGGGAAAATTATATAAGATGGCGCTGAGACCTACAATGCTTTTTGCCGTAGAATGCTAGCCATTAAAAGAGAAGCGTAATTTTAAGTTAAGTATTGTAGAGATGAGCATGCTCAAATGGATGAGTAGATTTATTTTTAGAGATATGATACAAAATGAGCATATACGTGAAAAGTTTGGAGTAGCTACAGTGGAAGATAAGATTAGAGAGAGTCGCCTTAGATGGTTCGGACACATAAAATAACAATCTTTTGATGACCCTGTTAGAAAAGTAGATGTATTGATTTGACTTATGTTAAGAAAGATAGAAATAGACCTAAAAAGACTTGACAATAAAATATTAGAAACGACGTTCTTTATTATATTTAAATGAGAATTTGACTCTTGACAGGAAACAATGAAGAAAAAAGATTCATGCAGTCGACCCCACAAAGCGGGATAAAAGCGTGATGCTGTTATTGTTGATTGCATCCCATTCTAAAAATAAATAAAGTTAATTAATATCAAATATCTAATCAATTTCTTTAACACAATGCTATCTTATAGCATACCATTATCAAATTTAAAATTACAATAACAAAAATTTAAAAATAATTAATTAATTAATTATGAATTCATTGTATCTTTATAAAACTCTAAATATTATAAATTTCAATTATTCATCTTACAATTCACTATATTTCCTTCTATTATTTAGATGTAAATCTCATATAACAATTATTATAATTTTTATTAATATCTAATTATATATATATATATATATATATAATATTTGAATTAATTTAATCATAAATTTACCTCTTAATTGAAAGTTTAGAATCCCAAAAGAAGGACAAATTATTCTGTGCAGAGTCTAGACGGTGTCCAGAAACAAATAAAAATACGTCATGTCACCTCAAAAGTGTACCGCATTCGATACCGAGCATGATACAAAGTGGTACCGAAAGTCAATGTCGCTCGGTACCGCACCGGGAAGACTCTCCTATTAAATGTCTACACAGAATAATCTCTCCAAAAGAATGAGGATGAAAAAGAGTAAAGAGGAACTCACCCTGTTATCCTGCCACCTGCAAGCCGAATCGATCTCATAAATCCCTTTGCTAATCATCATCAACCCAATGGCAAGACAATCCCTCATTGGCATCTTGCAATAGAAGCACGGCACCACTCCACCGACAAACTTCGCTGAAACCCCAATCATCAAATAGAAGAACAAAACCATCCATTCCTCCACCCTATCCCCCAATGTCCACAAATCCAACCTCAGCCCCGCCGACGCCAAGAACACCGGCAAGAATACCCCCACCACCAGTCTCTCCAATTTCTCCACCATCGTCACCCCCAATGGCGCCCCTCCCGGCAACATCAATCCCAACATAAACGGCCCCATCGTCGCATGATACCCAATCAGCTCACTCACAAACCCACAAACGAAAGCAAGGAGAATCACCCCAACAAAGCACGCCTCATCGAGCATTCCACCTTCCGGCGTTGTTTTTCTTATCGCCAAAATCGTCAATGGCCTCGCCACAAACACAAGAAACGCCATAAACCCTAGAAAAGCAGCCATTGATGTCACTCCCATTAGGGCAGAATCGCCCTTGCTTCCCAGCAAGTAAGAGCCGATTACGGCGGTGATGAAGAGATTGGTGAACTCGGTGATTAGAGTGGCGGACATTGCGAGGCGGCCGAGTTTTGATGTGAGGAGATTGAGATCGGCGAGGACGCATGACACGACGGTGTAGGAAGTCATGCTCCAGGAGGACGCTAAGTTGGTGATGAGGAATCTCTGTTTGAAGCGTAAGGGGATGCTGGATTTCAGGAGGAAGCCGGTGAGGACGATGATCGCGAATGGGAAGAAGGATGTGCAGATGGCGATGGCGAAGGCTTTTCTGCCTGCTTTTGGGATCATGCTGAGGTCCGTTTTCAGGCCGATGAGGAAGAGGAAGAGCATGAAGGAGAGAAGCGAGATGGTGTTTAGCTGTTCCCAGCTGCGAGGGGAGAAAAGAATCCTTTCGATGGGTTTGATCCGTCCCATACAGGATGGGCCCAGTAGAATCCCCGCCTGCACATACATATAATATTTTTTTTTAACATAAAGCAATCATATAAATTTCTATTAGAAGAGCCGAGAATTGCGCGACTTACTATGATCTGCGAGATGACGATAGGAATGGAGAGGCGCCGGAGGATGGAGTGGCTGATGCGTGTGAAGATGAAGACGACAACGATCTGAAAAAGAAGGAGAGGAAGGGAGAACAAGAGAGGGTTGTCTGCGAGCCATATGCCCGTCGAGGTAGTCATAATCGCATGGAAGCAGAACACTCTTTCCTGCTTCGCCGTCACATTCTTATAGAAGTCTTCCGGCGTGATTTCCAGCGACATAATTGCTAATTATCGATGAATTTACCTTCTTTCTTCCCAATTCGGCGTCAATCGATGGAGTTAGCAATGAATCAAAGGAAGTGAAAGGAGACGAGCGAGAAGATTGAGAAAAGAGATAGATCGATTATTTCAAGAACATATATAGATCATCTGCGAGATATGCGGAAAAAAAGAGGTTGCTAGCAGTTATCGGTACCTCCTTACCAGCCACAAGTCCTAGATTTTAAGGAGGAAGCCATCTGGACTGAGGGAAAGGTTCATGCGGTTGCCCAAAAAGCTTGGAAAGGCTGTTTGGTTGCCTGAATTAGAAGGGTAATCTAAAATAAATAGATGTATTTACTAAATTTAATTGTTTGATTTATTTTGAGCGGAAGAAAAGAAAACTATCCCATGCATTATGTGTTTATTTTTAGGGGCTGTTTGATTGTCTGAATTAGAAGGATAAAGTAAAACAATTATATGTATTTATTAAATTTAATTATTTGATTAATTTTGAGCTTAACGAAGGAAGGAATAATGGGGTGTTTGAGGAGGCAGATCGCGCTGACTTTCAAACCCGCTCAAATTGAGCGGGTTAGAAATTCTTTGTCCGCTATTGCGCAATGATTTCGCCGAAGCTGACCTTCTCCGTTCTTCCTTGCTCTCTTCTCCATTCCTGCGCTGACGTTCCCGCATCGTCGCTTCGCCTGGTTCCGCAAAGCCGTCGTGGAGCTCTTCCTTCACTTCGGCGTCGACTGACGTGGGAGACCCCGACGGACAACCTTCTCCAGTCCGCGAGCACTATGACCTCTTCAAACATTCTCTCTATTTCTCAGGGAGGCAATGGAGTTGGAGGTGGAGATGGAGGAGAAGTTGGCATGGTTGGCGGCGAAAGGGGAGAGATCAGTCCGCCGTCGAATGCTTCCTCCCCCGTACCTGGAGACGAAGTTGCCGAGTGAACCTGCCCGAGAAACTGATGTCAGAGGAGGATGGTGATGAGAAGAAAGAGAACAGTCCTTCCAGGGGATTGCAAAAGCGAGGAGTAGATTTGCATTCTCATTGGAAGACAAGCCTATGTTCCTTCTTCCGCCGGCCGCCTGGAAGGGTCTGCCGGCACGGCGACGCCTGCAGCTTTGCCCACGGCGAGACTGAGCTCCGACAGCTCCCGGATAGTTCCTGGGATCCGACCTCCGAGAGGGCCAAGAAGCTCCTCAAGAGCAACGACGGCGACGCTATCTCGAGCTTGACCGAGGAAGACGAAGATGCTGCCGTTGATTTGTCCGGCCTTGACAACTGCCTGATAGGTCTCCCCAAGAAGTGGGCTTCCGAAAACCTTAATAAGAGCTTCCTTGATAGCCAGGCAATTTCCTTACCGTTTTGGTTTGTATTTTCTGCTGTTTCAAATGAGTTAAAAACATTGGTTTTAATTTACGCTGCACAACACAGTAATTTTGATGCTGTTCGCGTCTCTTTCGGTTTCTTAACTCTACAAATTCTATATTCCACATTTCTGGTGGTTTTTAAAATTTGACTATTATTAGGAGGGAATTTCGTATAAAACAGCAAAAAAGAAGAAAGGAATGACTGTAGGTTTTGTGAGCTTTGCTGACGCTGATCAGATTTTAAGTGCTATTGAGGTATCTTCTTTGGTGATGCCGCACATTACTTTACTCTTCTTTCATCTAATGTTTTTGCTAGTGAGCTTCCCATGTTTGTTGCCCAGGCCGACCTTTGTTAAATTAATAGGTTTTGAAGGTAAATCCTTTTAATTGCAAGCAAGTAAAGGTTGCTGATGCAGTTTGTAGATCTCAGAAAAAGAAACAAACAATGGAAAACACTGCTAAATTAATGCACAGCAGAATATTATATCAAAAAAATTTATTACTGCTTTTATAAATACACTATTTATAATGACAAAAAAATATTACAAATGCATTGCTTTTACTTTACTCTGGAAATATCTAACCAAATAAGGGAAACAGTTCTCCTGTGTTTACTTTGCAGACAACCAAACAGCCTCAAAGTATTTAGAATGCACTACATTTACTTTACACTGCATTTACTTTACACTGCATTTATTTTGCAGGCAACCAAACACCCCCTAGGGGGCTGTTTTGCGGGAATTAGAAACTCTCTCATATTGAGCGGGTTATAAATTCGCTCGACGAAAATGCCTTGGCGTCGTTGCTATTCGGCTTCATTGCTCCTGCAGGAGGTGTAAGATTGCACGAGAGGCTTCTTCGGCTCCTTCGTTCTTCTTAGACTTCGCGCGACGACTATCCCTTTGCCTGTCCGATCAGAAGTTGCGCCATTTTCATCGGAAGCAAGGACGGGAGCTCGCAAGTTCACATCGTCGTTGCTGTTCGGCTTCATCGCTTCGCAGGAGGTGTAAGATTGCACGCGTCGCTTCTTCGGCTCCTTCGTGGCTGTTCGACTTCGCTCCTTCGACGGCTTTCCCTTCCAGTCGGATCGGAAGTTACGACCTTTTGATCGGAAGCAACAACGGGAGCTCCGCTGGCTGTGAATGTAACTTTCTACCTTTCACGTTCTTTTTCGGAAGTTGCGGAGAGGCTTCTACGGCTCCTTCGTTCTTGTTCGCTCCTTCAACGTGGTTACGTTTGCCTGTCCGATCGTAAGTTGCGACATTTCCATCGGAAGGAGTTCGGAATTTCTGAAGTTAAATTTATCCCTTTCGCGCGCTTGTTCGGACAAATCCAGAGTTGTTAAGTAAGGTAACGCTGTCTTCTTCACTGTTAATTTTATTGTTTTGGTTTTCACAACCTTGGTTAATTTTTCCAGTAGCTGAAAATCAAGGCTTTTGAACTTGCAGGTAAATTTTGCGGTAAATCAAAGTTTTTGAACTTGCGGGTAAATTTTCTACTTCACACGTTGCAATTGCAGGTGAATTTTGCGGGAAGGGGGATCTATTATGCATTGTTAAGGAAGTGTGTTGGATAAAATTTCTGCATTTTCTTATAAATTGATTATTATTGTGGTTAAGAGTATATAATTGGTACTAATTTAGTGGGGATTAGCTTGGCGAAAAAACAAAAAAATTCAGAGTTGTTAAGTAAGGTAACGCTGTCTTCTTCTCTGTTAATTTTTTTTTCTGATAAAGCTTTTTTGGAGGATTTTTACTAGTCTCATGGCCACCTTCTTTTGTTCGGCCAAGTTCTTCTCTTTCTGCATTAGTAACTTGATGAACTTTGCTTCTAAGTTCACTGCCATGTATGAGAGCTGTTGTTTCCACTGTTGTTGAAGAGTTCATTTTAGCTGCTCGATCTGATTTAGGGGAAGAGAAGAAATTTGTTAGGTTTCTGTTTATGTTTTGATTTGAAATTAAAAATGCTAAATTATAAAAAAAATTTAGAAATTTGTCTGATAATTATTCGTACTCTGAAAATTGCTGAATTTTTTTGTTTTTTCGCCAAGCCAAGCTAATATTCAGTTGTGAATATGATTTGAACCAAATGATTTGGTTTCGATATAAGGTTGGAGTAGCTCCGGTGAAAGATAAAATTATAGAGAGTCACCTTAGATGTTTTGGTCCCAATTATTTGGTGTTGATTTTGGATAACTATACAATCAAAATTTAAGAAGTCTTAACTGAATATGTAAACTTCGAATCTAAGAACTCTCAACTGAAAACCTAAGCACCCAAATAGCATGAAACTAACATTATATGAGCATTTTGGAAGTTTTATTTAGATCTTTGTATAAGGGCGTTCAAATTTTCATGGTTCTAAATAAAATATTATTGGCCTTTTTGGAAGTAGATTTTATTTCTATTTTATTTGGATTGATCCATCTCATCTATTTTTTAACCATTATGATCATTAGAATTTTCTCACTAATTGAGATAGACAAAGTATAAGAATGAAAATAGAAGAGGATAGCTCGAATGCTACGACAAACTCACGTGTTTCACATTTCAAATATTCATCACAAATCGCTCTCTTTTTCCACAAAGAAATCAGCAACGTTATATAGAAAAAAGGGAGAAATGATATTAAATGTTCACTTAAATTTACCACCTAAACAACCAATAGAAGTCTTCCAAAACAGCCACAAAACTCTTCCAAATAAACCCAATTAATTAGGAAATAAAGCACCCAGCATAGGTTTCAACAAATGGGAAAACTGAGCAAACACAGTAAGGAAAACGAGAATCCAGCAATAAAGACAACAAAGAAACCGAACGGGCAGCTGGAGAAATGAAGAGCAATAAGGGAAAACCAAGTCCAACATTGGGAAGACCAATATCCAACATTGCATATCTATTAAAGTTGTTATAACTATAAACTTTTTCGTGTTAATTTGTTCTATTTATAACTACAAACAATGGGTATGTTTTTATTTTATTTATTGTAAGTTTTTATTAATGTTGTTTACATGTTATGAATGTGAATTATGCTGATTATTTTCATTCTGATGCTGGAGATGATGTCCAATATATAATAGATCAATCTATCCTATCAAAATAGTTGCTCGAACATTAAGAACTGGGCTCTCTTTCTTTGCTTGTTAATCTAACGAAAAGTTTTTTGAAGAAATGTACTCGATGGCCTAAACTACTTTATTACTAATGAAATCATGATTACGTATTTTTGTTTCAGAAACTTCTATGACATAAGTAGAAGTATATTATCCATACTTATTTCCAAAAAAACAATCCAATACCATTCTTAGTTTTTCATATATAAAATTTTCCAGATCAATATTAATCCAGTTAAAGACAGCACTCAATGGCCTAAATTAAAAAGCAATAAAAAATCGTCCCAAATGAAACTTTAATTACATAGGCATGTTTAATATTATCATTTGAAATACACAAGTTATAATGACAAAAAAAAAATATTACAAATTCATTGTTTTTTACTTTACTCTGGATATATCTAACTAAACAAGGGAAACATTTCTCCTGCGTTTACTTTGCAGACAACCAAACAACCTCAAAGTATTTGGAATGCACT